GAAAGTTTCCTTGCAATTCTCATATACTAGAAAGGCATGTGAGACTGGTGACAGAAGCGTCACTGGCAACATGTGGTGCAGAAAGGAGTGAGGAATGGATTCATACGCAATCAAATCAAGTTCCGGAACGTATTTACGAAGGTTGACAGCAAGATGAATTTCTTTGGTTCAGTTGTAGAACCTGAAGATGATGAGTGATTAAGCTGAAACTTTTTACTGGGATTTTTTTACCAATTACAACAGGAAACAAAAGTGTTGAACAAAAATCATCTAAAAATGTTGTTAAAAATAGTTTGATGTTTTTATTAACATTAACTTTGATTTTTTTATTTACTTCATGTGGAACCTGAAGATGGAGAGCGATTGAGCTGCAATTTTTTTACTGTACTTTTCCATCGAACAAAACCATTTGTTGAGTCAGGAAATAATAAAATTTGAAACAAATTTTTTTTGCCCTTTTTTACTCCACCCTAGTGTACAGTTGATAAATAAGAAAGAAGAACGATTCATTTAGCCATCTGATTAGAAACATCGAAATATAGTACTATTTGTTTGTGTGAGTATTGCGAGCAGCGTATAAAAATCGAAAGATCGCTTAACGTGTTTATTTGATGCCTGAATCATAAGTCCTCTTCCACCGGAAGTTGAATATAATTTATCTAGGATTTATAGTTTTAGAATGTGTGTAAGTTTCTTTTTCTGCTTTTTGCGTGTGGCAACAAAACTAGTGGTTGATAGAATACTGTGTTTGTGACAGCCATGTAGAATGGCTCGCTATTTTGCACCATATTTTCTCATCGCTTATTTCATGTTTAGAATTAGCGTAATTAAATAAAGGAAATACCGTCCATGTGTCATGTGAATTTTTTGTGTGCCAGCCGCTGTGCAATAATGTTAAGTTTGTACCACCATTCTTTTGGAAGAATAACTTCCTTATGGATCCACTCAGCCAATCAATATTAATGTGACACCTTATCATGCAACAATTACATTAGACGCACCACATGACTTCCTTGTACGGCCAATTAAATTATGCACTTTTTTGTTGCACTTCATTTAAATTTATTCCCTTGAATTATTCTAACTTAATTAACCAATCCCTCAAAGCAAATTGAAAATGATATCAAAAATTGCAAATTTTCAAATTAAATATCCTGGTTAGATTTCGTCGTACGGGAATCAAATTTCTTGTATTTTTATTTTTTTCAGAACGAGTGTAAAACTTTCTCATATATAAGTATAGGAATCGGAAGACAGCCCTAAAAGTAAGCTTCCATTATTTGTCCTAAATTGCTTTCTTAAAAAAAACTGACATCGCCAAAATATAAATATTTTGGTTACTTGAAACACTACTGTATACGATTAACAATTCCGAAAATAAAGGCCTGGAAAGGTCTTTTAAGTCGGTTAAGGGGTTGGGCATACATACACACACACACACATATATATATATATACATGTAAAATATAAAATAAGAAAATAAATCTACGTATATGTAAAACATAAAATAAGAATTATCTCTAATATATTATGAGCTTAATTAGTAACAGCTCTTTAAATTTCTGCTCTGGATTTTTATATGTCATGCTCCTAGCATCTCAAATGCATCAAAATTTCTCTCAACTGCTTCATTTCTAGATCAATAGATAGATATAACTTAATAATGCTCATGACTTAACTAATTCGGAAACTAAACCAAAACTCTGAGGTAACTAATTTGGAAAGTGAACACAAAATTTCGAGAACTGAAACCTTTCTTTTGGTGAGATTCCACACTGAATAACTGCGCACTTTGCTTTTATCTCTGTTCTCACTAATATGCGGCTTGATGCTGTTCTTCCTAACGCAACAAAAAGTATTTAAAATGTAACTCTCCTGAAGCAGGCAGGATTAGCGTACAAATGAATTAAGGCTGCAAAATGGAAATAAAGATGAGTATTTAATTAGTGCCTCGGTTGCGATGTTTACTGTTCATTATGGATCTACGTTCTACTCCATCAATACTACGAGGTCATATATATATGTATGTGTTTGGTTCTACCGATTGCAATAGGTGTGTAATTAGATGTTATAGCAGTGCCCATATACACAATTTCAACGTTCTACGGCTAATCGTTTTTGCTTTATAAGTGCGTGATACATAACCACATACGTATGACGTCACAGAAAACTCCCTTTTGAATCCATTTTACAATCCGTTTTGGAAAAAGTGTTCTTTATTCTGTCCTTACGCAAAGAGGTCACGCAAAAAATTAGTCAAAATGGATTCGCGACCTGTTAATACGGATATTTTCGTTGGAATAAAATAACCAAAATCTTTGGTGATTACAATACTTCGTGTAAGGAAGTAAAAATGTAACTGATTATTCAGTTCTTATTTAAGGAATTAATTCTATAATTTGAGGTTGGCTTGAATTCCGTATGCTGATCCTTGTGTTGTGTGGGGAAAAAGTAGATTATTACATTATGAAAACCTTGGTAAAGTTGACCAGCTTATTTTAAAACAATTTTACTTCCTTGAATAGCAACTTTTACGTAGCGCGCGAAGTTCAGTATCACTATTTCATTCTTTTCAGAAACGTGTGCGCAATGTAAATAAAGAAAATTCTTTTGACTATTTACGTCCCTAGACTATATTTCTAATTTCGCAAATTACTTCTTAATTCTTTACTGAAATGAAAATTTTTCATATCATTATAATTTTCAAGGTCAAAATATTTTATTTGAATTTCATTTTACTTCTGCTAAAACCAGTAATAAAAAAGATGGGAAGAAACCAGAAGAAAATGCTCCTTTTCTGTCTGATGAGATGGGAAGTGCCATTTGCAGCACTTTTAAATTTATAACCATAAAGTATATGTTCCTGAGTATGCAATAGAAAAATATAAACATTATTTATTCATATTTATATTTAACCATATTAATTTAAAAAACTGAAAAATTCGAATAATTTACTTAAAATGTTCCTTTCTATTCAAAGTCAGTTTAATTACTTTTATACACGAAATATATTTTAGACTGACAAATGTAGTTGCTGCTCTTAAAAACTCCTTAATTTGACTCATATTATCATCAAATTTAGCTCTCTTTATACTAAAACAACTTTATTTGAATTAATTAATGTTACATTTCAGAACTAAAACAAAAGAATGAATTTTGCAATTATTTTTCATTTGAAAAATAAATGTATGACTCTGAATATTTCACAAGAAATTTAATAGTTACTTTAATTTTTCTCTTCTTTATCTAAACTAAAGCGATATAGCCGAAGCTATCAAGATTCTAACCGAGTTGGCCGCTTAACGCTAATTGACCGCGAAGCTATCAAGGGCCTAAATTACGGCCGAGCGTAATCATAACTTAAGAGTGAGTAGCCTAAAAAGCTGGACGCGTGCAAACAGAATACCTGATAACTCTCTCTCTACAACCGAAGAACTTCGCGGTTAAATACCGATCTTCCTCATTATGTATTCAGACGTGATTCTAAAACTACGTTCTGGCCGAAAGTAGTAAGTTGAAGTTAAGAATCGACAGGAAAGGAACTTAAAATTTAACTGTTCATAAAATTAACATAATCCTTATTCATTTGAAAAATAAATGTATGACTCTGAATATTTCACAACAAATTTAATAGTTATTTTAATATTTTCTCTTCTTTTTACTTCCTTGTATGAAGTTAAGGAAGTATTGTAATTGCGAAAAATTTCGGGTATCGCATTTCAACGAAAATATCCATTTTGAACACTCTCTACTCCATTTGAAGGATGTTTATGCGTTACATCTGCACGTATGGAGAGAATAATAGGAGTCTTTTTCCCATTACGAATTGTGAAATGGATTTAAAGTGGATTCAGGAGAGATTTTTTTGTGACGTCTGTACGTACGTACGTACGTATGTATCTCACATAACTGAAAAATACCCTCTCTGTAACCCGGCTCGTTGAGTAAGTGTTTTTATTCTTATATGTTGTAAAATGTGCATTTTTTTCCTTTAACAGTGATTGAATTGCTCCGGTAAGGTGTTTATGCCTTAAATTTTCATGCAGCAGTTGTAGAATTATCAACAATTTAAAAGTTGATTGAGTTTCACAGAGCCTAACGACGCCGCCATTCACTTGTTTACATTTGAAACGTAGTTGCTTAGTGTATTAAGTCAGTTCTTGCACGAAAATCAGTGCCTTTTGCCGAGTGGGGCCAAAAGTTTTGTGCGCCGAAAAATCTGTCTTTTTGCCTAATTTTAATTAATTTAAATTAAAAATGTTTTCTTTTAACGATTTTTAATTCTATTTGGTGTTTTAGCATTTTCTGTGTTTTTCAATTTTTAATGAAGATGTTTTGAGATGTTCCTAGTTTTTCCTTGTCGCGAAGTGAGAACTGAATTGATTGAATGAGAAGCTAATGAAAGCTCTCTAAAGAATGAAATTTGGGGAAATAAGTTTAAATGAAACGCAGCAAAAAATGTGCATAATTTAATAGGCCATACAAGGAATTCATATAGTGTCCACATCAGATTTTTTCAAACTGTAGTAATTTGCAGTATTCAACTTAAAATATCAAATATGAAAATATGAAAGGAATCAAATATGAAAGCGACGATGATGTATGACCTATGTAAATTTCAATGGGGATTGTCGTGACTTTGCATACTAGAACTTTAAAACCGTTTAAAAAAGAATAAAATGGAGAACAAATAATTTTAAGTACTTTTTCAACTTTTAGTAGCTAAAAAATTACAGATAATAAATGATTGCTTATTTTATTCTATTTTTGGCAGAAAATGTAATTACGAGTAAAATGAGTCTTACTTCTATTCCAGTGGTTCTCAGCCCTTCTTGTCCCATGCACCCCTTTTACCCTTGCTGTATAACTGTTTCTCCCCCCTTCTTTTCTAAAATTCGAAAATATATATACATTTATTTAAAGCTATATTACTTTTATAAATTAAAAGAGACAAAGTATAGAAGAATCTAAATAATAAAGTTGAAAATTATGAAGACGCATTTGTCAGTATTTCAGTTTATTTCATCTTTTATCTGAAGATTGATTAAGTCGACAGCTATGATTTAGAATTCGACTGCAACTCGCATTTCTGTATATACCATGTAGGACTTTTGTCTCTGCAGTTGTTCCTCCATGCAGGCCTATAAGAAAAATAAACATAGCAAATATAAAGTAATTGAAACAGCTGCATAAAGACAAAAATTAAAACCTGCCGCGATTCTAGTTTGAAATATTTGATTTGGAAATTTCGAAGAGCTACAGAAAGTGTAACGAGCTAGGCCAAGTAATTAATGGACGGAATTAAGATAACACTTTAAAGCTATGAGAACATTTTCAGTTGAAAAAAAAGCGAGATTCGTATGTATACAATTTTAATAATTTGATGATGACTGAAACTGAAAAGCACAAGAATATTTTAATATTAAGAACTAAGAATTAAGTATTAGCGGAACTAGACTTAATAATAAATATACAGTAAATTGTGTTTTTTTTTTACATACAGTAATAGTTCGTCTGCAAAGAATTGTAAAATTGCAGAAAAACCTAACTGGTGTCACAAAGATAAAATAAATTATGTTAATATAATTTGTTTGAATTTTAATAAAGCCATTTTTAATAGATACCTTAAATAATTACCCTTAAATATGGAGACACCATAAAATATAATTGTTAAGTTAAAAGTTGCATATTTTTAACAATATAAAATAAAATTTTAATCATAACAGTTTATAACAAATTGTTCCTTTAATAGTTATTTATTATAACAGTTTCTATAACTGCTATTTTTGCTCCTATAATAGACAAATTTTGAACTGTAATAGAAAAAATAATATATAAATTGTTACTTTTGATCCTATAATAAAAAAGACATAAGATTTTTTTTTGTTTGTTTTAGGAAAGGCAAATTTAATCATTATTTTCACTTATTAATGTTTATTTGATTGCAAATACATAAAATCCGAAATGTTTTTTCGTCCATCGATGCATGAAAAACCCGTCATCATAAATCAAAATAAAGCAAAATTCAGACTCATAAAATGGGCGAAAATTCCCTTGAATCTATATAAGTCATGATAAAAAATTACTTTATCAGGTTCTATGAAATTAAAGCGAATACATATACAAACCGGACGACCTTTTCAAACCTTCCCTGATCCATGTTTGACAGCCTAACAACCGTGCACCGCTGCAACAATTTTCCGCAGGAAGAATATTCTCTAACGAAGGTACAAAATATTGCAGCTCTGGTAAGCAGAAATGTCTTTTAGGCAAAAAATAATCCTTACCTTCTTGAGGAGATCCAGCACAATCCAATTCAGTTTTATGTTTTAGGCAGAGATGACTGCGGAATACCTGTTTGGCTCTTATTTTTCCGATGTCTGGATCAATTAGTAAAGCAGAATGCCTTATAGACGAAAAATAATCCTGACCTTCTTGAGGAGATCGACCACAATCGACTTCAGTTTTATGGTTTAGGCAGAGATGACTGCGGATTACCTGCTTGGTCCTTATTTTACCGATGTCTAGGTTTATACTTATTTTTCCGATGTCTGTTGTCTGTATGTTCTCGAAGTTATCTGACAACAATCATTGATTGATTGCTTACAGAGTTGAGAACAAAAGGTAGCTATTGTTTGACAAAAGGTAGCCATTGTTTGGACAGGGCAGAGCAACAATGCATAATACTCAAAGGGACCATGAGTGCTTCATCAAATTTTCCTTCTTACGGAATGTGTCGTGGATCAGAGCAATTTCTAGCTTCACTACGGGAGCCTGTAAGACGTTTTGATATCAGCGAACTTGATGATGCCCTTCTGTAAAAGATCCGCGAAAGAAAAGGCGCTGGAAAATTAGTTCTTCCATACACCAGGCATTGAGCAACTGATAGACACAATTTGTGTAGTGTTTCAGAAAATTCACTCTAGATATGCTGTTGCTTATGAGCAGTCTTTCTTAAATTTTCATGATGCTTTGCTGCGAAGGTGGAGCAAATCACGCAGATGTTTCGGGCTCATACTAAGTCAGTTATGCAGAATCCTACAGTTTTAAATACAAGGTAGTACTAATGCAATAATAATTGTAATAATAATAATAATAATAATAATAATAATAATAATAAAGTAAGAATACGTATATTAAATATAATAATAATGTAATATAATTAAATATAAATAATAATGACATTACTAATACCTTATATAATAATAATTGCACTCACAAGGCACTACATATGCGTACCATATGCGTACTACATGTGCGTATCACTCTACTCTGTATTTAAGTACTCTGTATTAAGTATGTATGTAAGGGAGCAGGCGTTTATCAGAAGCTCCTATAACAGGAGTGAAATTTATTTCACTTGAAGCAACGCCCTGAGCACCAATACATGGCTGCTGACATTTTATATATCTCAGACACGCGAAGAAGAGTGTCATGAATCTGGAGGATGACTAACCGTCTAACTGCCCGTACCCATCCGGACTCTGGATAATATTCCCCCTGCAGCTGAGACTGTCGCAGTACAGATGTCACAGATGAACGACCACAGGAAGGTAGAACACAAGGTAAAAGGACATTTCGTCCATCCTAAACATTGACGTAATGGTGAAAGCATATTTGATAATTAAAGCATTAGTTTTATAAAAAAGGTAGACGCATTTCTAGAAAATGTGGCAAATATCCGTCTTTTCCTTTTCCTTTTTTTTTTTTTTTTTTTTTTGTAAAAGGTATACCTTTTTTTCTTCTTACGACAGATTATTTCAAAATGAATAAAATGTTATAATAGTAAACTTATGCCAATAAGATGAGACGGAATTTTGTTTAAAAAAAAACTTCCATTGTTTGATCGATACTGAACCATGCGTTAAAGTATTCAGTAGCATCTATTTATAAAATTACCTAGATATCCCCATTATAAAATGTAAGTGTGAAAAAATATGAAGTAAGTATACGTCAGACAGTACCATTTTTTTTTTTTTATATTGGGGGCAGGAGGTAATGGAATTTCTTACCAATGTGAAAATCCCTCTCTCTTATGTATTTCTGTCGCGCACTTAGCACTTGGAACAATATCATCAGAAACAAGATCTGAAAAAAAAAAAAATGTTGAATTAATTACTTTGTTAGAAAAATTTTGGTAAGATAAAAGTAAAAGATGAAAGTAAGAAATATATATATAATATATACCTGTACAGTTGACACCACAAGTTACTTTTGCTCCTTTTCTGCAATATTTGTCATTTATCTGCATTGTTAAAAAAAGTTCTCAACAACTATAAATTTATAAAACAACATTGTTTAATTTCAAATAGGAAAAAAAAATAAAATAGTAAAGAAATAGGTACTCGAAATAGAAGAGTAAACAAAAAGATATATTATACCCCATTGAGGTTACCCGCACTAGTTCGGAAGTCTGTAGATCCGTAGTCATGCTGACAACTGAGTGCCGAGAAGTATTGTAGTTTACAACCTAGAAGTTAGCGTTTCTAATTTGAAGAACCAGCATTTGAAATGAACTGTATGTGAAAGGTATCTATAATTTGGAACAGACAATGTTGCTGCTCTATGCATTTTACACTGAACATTAAAAAAAAGTTCATAATATTCACTCTTTTAAAATAATAGATAAAATGGGCTATTCTTTTAACGTAAAGTTTTCCTTTTAAACTGGCCGTTTTTTTTAAATGCGCATTTATTTATAATTATTTCTTTTCTGCATACTAACTGAGAGAATTCTACTACTGATTCTAAGATAATTATAATAACAGCTATTTAAAGTTAGGCAAAAAGCAACCATACATTGCACAGTTTTAAACGTATATCGCAATTCTACTTTTCCTGCTGCTAAAGACTTTTGTTTGATTTCCCTTAAAATCGATAGCTTTATTCAAAATTTCTGCCAATCTAAGGTTGATGTTTTTTCTATAATTCTAAATTTTACATTGGTATGTTTCTCTTCCAATTCCGTTCAATAACAGATATTTTTAAAACAATTTTTAACTTATACTCACATCTACATTTACATTTAAATAAATACAATATCTAAGATTGTTGTCGTAATTTTGACAAAACAGCCTTACAGTACCTAAATGAATTATTTAATGTTTTAAAGTGGGAGCTAAGGTTGTAGAGACATTAGGTATTTTTTGGAAGCAGGAGAGATGAAAAATTAACAACGCTTTCGCTGAGACTCGAACCACGGGCCTCTCGAATACGCACCGAGCGTGCTGATCACGACACTATGAAGGTATGTTATGAAGGCGGAAGAAATACCTTATTATATACTCCTTCTTTTAAAGGGCGACTGGGGATTTAGCGGATCCAATCGCCAAATCCTGGTGGTGAAGAATCGTCATTCACCCTCTTTTAGTTCGGGTGCCACTGTATAGACATTAGGAATTTTGGAATCAGGCGATATAAAAATGAGCAATGCCGTCGCTGGGACTCGAACCACAAGCCTCTCGAATACGCGCCGAGCGTGCTTACTACTACACTATGAAGGCATGCTAAGAAGGCGGTAGAAATACCTTATAAGATGGCAAGTCTCTTTATGCCAATTCTTTGATGTTTTATACTATTATAATTTATCTAGAATACTAAGCCAGCATAAAATCGAATCAGTATTTAGTTACAAAGAATACAATTAAGAATACAAAAAAGATAAATTTACAACTTTAACAAGTGCTTAAACTAATCTTCATTTGAAATATGCTTTAAGTTCTAAAATGTCATCTAGAAATATTTCAAATTAAAATATATAGAAATGCAAATAATATAAATACTTATTTGCACAGTCGCACTGAAATTACAAGTTGTTCAAATATTATTTATTAGCCCCCACATTCGAAGCAATAGACTTTTTTTACCTTTTGAGTTGCTTTCCTTTGGAAAACATACGTATTTCTATTTAAGAAACGTATCCTAATAAAAGTTCGCACTCTGCAAAATAAATGAATTGCATCTCTATTAAATTCAGGATAATATTTCTCTGGTTTACTAATTAAAGAGGCAATTACATTCAAATTCTTGCGCTCTTCACATTAATAGAATCCTGTCTTCAGCATTTATGTGTCCATTCTTTCGTCAAAAGCAAATTGTCATTGGGGAAATCATGAGATAAAATATCACTTCCTTTCTTATTTCTATATATGTTACGGCAAGAAACAATATTACATAAACAATACTTTACAATATAGAATTTAATAGGAAAATTGACTAAAACTATATAAATATGTAAGATAAAAAATATGTAAATCAAAATTATAATTTAAACTAACGCGGGTAAAGCATTAATTCTCCCTCTCTGTTTTAAAAATCATAATTACTTCTCTGGATTGCTTCATTTTTAAATCATTCTAAGGCTTGCGCAGCGCTGATGACGTAATAATTGGAAACTGAAACTTTAAACAAAATCTTTCTCTTCGTGTGCTTCCATCTTGCATAACTACATACTTCAGCTTCGCTTTCTACCCTGCTAGGATGTAACTTCACCGTCTTGCTTGCTTTTGCAATAATATCAAAAATGTAAATGTTCTGTAAAAAAGCACGGCTAGTGCCAAGTGATTGTGGCCACAAATGTCAACTGGAAAATAAAAATGGAATTAAAACCGCCTCGACTGCCAAGTTCTTTAAATATTACCAAGTCAACGTGTTAGCATACCACGCAATCAGAATTCTTCAATATGGATCAAAGTACGCATCAACAGTGTTCCGGCTTTTCCTCGCTTTTATTATTCCATATATTCGCATATATATAAATTATTTTAAATATTTACATTATTAGAAAACAAATATATATGATTAAAATTATTTTGGGATATGCGACCTCCAGAAAATCGCCTCCTATCAGAATGCAACTATAGTTTCAAACGCTTGAAATCAGAGCACATGCATCACAGTGACGTCAGATTACTTCTGTTTAACTCCTCATATGAGGCACGCGTCATGAACTAGCCCTTCTGTTTAACCCTGCTGTAGACTCGAAGTAATAATTTGAAAATCCTGTAGACCTATGTTGATAGCAGACAGGTGGTAAAAAAAGTAGTCTGAAGTCATGCAGACTCAAAAGGAAGACATGACTAACAATAACATACCTAACCATATGCTTTGGGAAAATTTTTTACTCGGAATATTATGTATGAGATTCGATCAACAGTACCTGAGAGAATGGAGAATCTAAAAATATTTTGCATACTGAAGACGTTTAAATCTGTGCATCAATTGTACGTTTCGAACCTATCACATCATGTAAAAAATTTAATATTTACTATTCTGTTGTATGCCTTTTATTCACTATTAGCTTTGTGTTTCAATAGCTATTCTTATTTTACGAATTTTTTTAATTTTAATTTATTTATTTATAACATATCCCATGTTAATTAACCAATTAGTACCTTAATTAGTGATTTTAATTTTCGCTACAATTTTTGCTTTCCATATTCCTCACCAGAATGCAAATTAGCTTTGAGCGTATTTAAACTGGGGTTTTGAATCTTACAGAGAGAGAGATATGGTACTCGCATTCGCTCTTAAACATTTTACCAGCTCTATCTAAAAGTGGCATTCCGGATTTGGTATTATCTCGCTAGTCGATTCTTTAATTTGAGTTAGCGCATAGCTTACCTTATCGAATGTCTAGTCTTAGACTACGTTATCAGCATTTAATTGAATTGTCTGTTATTGCTAAATTTAATTTAGCAACGAGTGATGGTTTTTGGTCTGTAGCCCAAATCATGCTTTCTGTTTTAAGTTCAAGATTTAAATATTTTCAAGATCGTCATAATATTTCAGACGTTGCGATAACTCTTTAACTTGTTTAGTAGTGTCTACAAGACTTAAATTTTAAATACTTACTGTTCCAGATCAATAGCAACTATACATATTTTGAAATTTTTATTAATTAAGTTATTTATTTACTGACTTCGCCTTTAACTGTCTAAATTCAACCGAAAACGTTAGCATGAATGAAGAATCAATTATTATTGCTGTTATTACTAATCTCGCTTGTGGGACATCAGAGCAAGCCCACGAAATTCATCGTGAAAGGAGGCAAGTTGCGCCTGTTATTGGCAAGAATCTTGGGCACCATACGATGAGAGTACGACGCTCAGTTCTGCTTCCAGTTTTTAAGAAGAGCATCCTTGGGGGACAGGTCCAAGAGTCTCCCACCCCCTTTTTCCCTACCAGGAACCTCTTGAGAGGACTTCCGGCTATCCGGATATTTAGAGTGCCTTTATGCTACACAAACACTATACATTTACAAACATCCGTGCTTTCTCAGGGATTCAAACCGGGGCTCTTTGGTACTGTAATCAGAATCATTAACCACTATCCCAGTTAGGCGGCTCATAACAATTCTTAATCTTTTTAGGTAGCATTAATTTAAGATTTCTCAAAAGTGGTCTTTCTTTTATGATGACATTCAAATAGAAGACAGATCTAAAAATTAAGAATTAAAGATATTTTGATGAAGCGAAGAGAATTCTATGAACAAAAATTATGATAAATAGGAGATAAGGCTAATTATTGCTCAGCTGAAGAGGTAAATTAGACAGCTTTCTGCTTCGGTGCCTCTTCTATATCCAGTAGTTGTTAGTATTATTCCGATTATTCAGATATAATTGCTTTGTCATATTACGAAAAACTGTACCTGAAAGATCCCAAAATCATCACTGCCATCGCTGTATGTTCCATGCAGTGCCTGAGTATTAAATCCACTTGCAAATTTCGCCAGACAAACCCCTAGATAAGAACAATATATCATTAAGTTTTCAATGTAATATCAAAACAGAAATATTTTGTTTCTCATTCAATGGCAAAAAGTGTTAACACTGGGCGGGATCAAGTAACATAGACATATATTTTGTATGATTGAAAAGTTTTCATAAGGATTATTTTTAAATACAAAATTAGATGACCCTGAAAATCCCGTATATTTTCCACTCTCCAGATTTGACCACTAACAATTGAACAGTATTTCATAAATGATTCTTTTACCTTTTCGCCATCGACAGAAATGGTCCGCAGCGACTAAAGGGCTTATCAGCATGTTGAATATTGACGATGGCATGAACAAACTTAAATTTGCTACTAGATCTCCCGCAGCAAGCTGGATGCAAAGTTGACATTGTAAAGTGAAGAATACCGAATGAAGGACAAGAGTAAGAAGGAGGTGAATTACGGTATCAGTGACGCTGACTACGTTGTATATATATATATATATAAGACAGTGCAGCCGGTTTCTCATTTGGAAGTCTCCTTTTAACTTTAACTGTTCTGTATGAGCATGTATCAGAATTCCACCGCGGCAGGATCGTGTCCTATCCGGACTGTGGTTTATCGTTCCGCAACATTGCCGCTTGTCTTGATCAGGATCGCACGACTCTCAGGTGAATATGGAATCGATGGATTTGAGAGGGCCGTATTGAACGCTATGCAAGGATCCCAACAACTGGGGCTGCTAAGCCCCGAGAGGAGAAAGTGTTGTCTTCAGGATTGTAAAGCCACGCTAAAAAGGAAATTTCCTCGACTACATTGGTATGAGAAATGACGACACTGGACACAGGAATGAAAAAGTGTTGACTTCTCAGATGAATTCAGATTCTGCATACGCCATCATAATGGGTATAACTAGTGTGAACTCAAGTAACACGGCAACGTCGTAACGACGTTGCAAACTGGTCCGAGAGGTTGCAAAGTGGTCGTGGTAACTTTTACGATGTCTTTACAACGTTGCGAAGACGCAAAATATTTGCCGTTGCATCTTGGCAATTTGCCGAAGTTGCTGAAACGTTATGATATGATAGCTTTTATACGTGGTCGTTTTAGCATCTTTTTCATAGTTCATCAGCGTTACTTTTAGAACGAAAAGAGATCAAATCTGCTCTTTCAAGAATCGGAAGTCTGCATAAAATTTATTTTGCAATGTTTCATTACTTTATTTCATCTAAATATATTAATTTAAGGTAGATTCATCTAATGAAATATAAATTTAATATAAATACTTGAATTATTAAATTTAATTAGTACTAAAATACGTGCTAAATTATTGTTAAAATTTTGTTAAAATAATTAATACTTAAAATATTTTTTTATAAATATTATAGCAAAATATTTAAAAATGAAACTAATCTATAAAGTAAGTTATTAAGTTATGCATTTTATATATTTTAAAAAATCATATTTCTGAAATCAATGCAAATCACATGTTATCAATTATTTTACTGCTGAAATATGACTTCAGTTATTATTTTTGAAGTAAGGACGAATTTATTTGAATTGATATGCTGTCATAATATGAAACATTTTTACCGCATACAGAGCAAAAAGTACAATTTTCGCGAAGTTATGATTGTGCGTGAAGATGTATTCACGATTATAAATGGGGCGATTTTAAGAATTCTGACAAAACGTCCAATGTTAAAATACGTTGCATATCCATGCATATTTAACGGCTGTCCAAAATATCTGACGGAAAATTAATGGAAAAGGAGAAAGAAATATTAAACTTTTAATGCAAAACGACAAAATTAATGGCTTTGATAATTACTAATAAATGTTGAAATCAACATTAGAGAAACTGTGAACAAAAATACGAAATTCATTACCTATAAAAGTTCTGATGAACTGTTTGTTATGTTTTTGTCCATCTCCATGCATTTAAAAATACTTGGTTTAATTTTAGTATACGGTACACTCGGGATTTGGCGATATTGACATTACAAATGTTTTAGCGAGCACGATAAATATTTTTTTGTAAATATAATCTTGTGAACATTGTTCGTAATTCTATTCAGTTGAAATAATTCTTCTATGCCATTTAAAAAAGATTTTTAGTTAACGGCATATTTTATTTTCAGAAATATTTTCTTCACAGTTTTGTAATTCACCGTCGGAATTAAATACTGGAGAGCTTCAATACAGCAAGAGAATGATGGAAAAGAATATAATGATGACGCTTTATTTTAAATTGAGGAGAAATCATGGTGGCAATGCCGAATTTCTGCTTATTTTGTTTGTGAATATCTGCTCTACAATGCAATATGTTAAAATCGTCCTACAGTGAAATAGTGTTCTGTTTTGGTGTTTTATGTTTCTGGTGATTAAACTTACATGGTGGTGTTCTCCAATTTTCAGTGATCCAACGGTGCAATATTTGGATACACGGATTCGGTTGTAACGTCCTAAGTGCTATATCGTATCACTCATATTATACGAACAGGTTGGTTCTCAGACTTTCCGCATATGATCGAAAAATTAGTGTTAAGGAAACATTAGTGTTAAGGGATTACTGTGAAATATTGTAATCTATAATTTTACGATATTTAAATGTGTAATATTAAAAAAACACTGAAATTTTTTTTATTGATTGCAAATTGCAGTTTTATTACTTGTCGTTTGGTAACTTTCTTCCAAACACTGTATAATTCGCGTTTTTTAAATATTGCTGTTATGTATGTCTATTAGATTATCTCAATAAATGAATGTTGGAAATTATTTTTTATTCTTTATTAAATTTAAGTATATTCTATTTTCTTCGCTTACATTTTATGTGCATATGATAACAAAGATATTTATAATAAAACGAAAAGTTTCATCGTCCCACATAGCACAAAAACATCCTTGGGATATCCCAAGGATGTTGCTCGCGGGATATGCGCACATCCTCAGGACATCCCGGAATATCCCGCGAACCTCCTCCCGAGTGCTTAATGTCACATCCCGGGATATCCTCAGGACATCCTAACCAAGTCCCATCGACAGCGTGCGGGATGTTATTAAGATATGAACTCCTACTTACTACATCCTCAGGACATCCCACAAACCTCCTAAGCACATCCCATTATATCCTAAAAACATCCTTTCTATGTCCCATCGACGGCATATGGGTTGTTATTAGGATTTAAAGTCCTACTTACTACATCCTCAGGACATCCCGTAATATCCCAATTTCCTCCTAAACTCATCCTCCTGAGCGCTTAATGTCACATCCCAGTATATCCTTAGGACATCCTATCTACGTCCCACCGACAGCGTATGGGATGTTATCAGGATTTGAAACACTAGTTACAATATCCCTTTAACCTCTAAATACATACTCTCAACTGCTTAGTGTCACATCCCAGTATATATACAGAGGAAAATTCCAGTGAAAGTATGTGAAGGTGTGATGATCTAAAACCTTTTTTTTTTACACAGATAGTCTCAAATCGTTTTCTCTATGGTTACTATGGAAAAATCAGAAATGTTGAAAATATTTATACAACTTATTTGTTTTAAATCTGAATTTGTGAATATATTAAAACTGAGCAAGGAAATTAAAATGAATTATTAATACAAATATTAAAAACTGTAAATTTTGCTTTTATTTTTAGATATTAAAAATCTTTTGATCATTTTTAAAAACATCCAATAGCCCCCAAATTGAATTATTCATAATTAAATTATTTTACACAAAATCAGTTTCTAATTTCAGTTAATTTGTATTAAAAATTAAATAATAAAATTACTCATTTAATAATCTTTACATAAATGAATCATCTTTCTTTAAAACATGTAAGGAATTTATAGTGTTTTGATGACACTGTTGGGAAATTGTTAAAAGGAATAAATTGTATTTTTAAAACTAAACCAATTCCTAGCCTCAGAATAAATAAATATGTTTTCGTAACATGAGAATGCTGGAGGGTTTTTATATATTTAATATTTAGTTGTAAAAATTTGACATTATGTTAACAATTCTTTATATCATTCAAAAGGTAACTCAAGAAGCTCTTCTAAAATTCTATCTTTCTGCTCACACAATTAAAAAAAGAAATCTGAAAGGCCTCAGATTTTAGCAGTCAAAGAGGCTAAAAGTTTATGAATGCATAGATTATCAATACAAATGGGGCAGTGGAAATAGCAAAACATTTTTATAGATACTGACACCAGAAAGTTATATACCTTCTATATATTGAAAAATGAGAAATATACATGTAAATTATGTAGAAATATTAAAATGTTTTCAATTAGATATATCATGAATTAAATGCATTTTAAATCAATCAGATTAAAAATTAAAAAAAAGCATGTTAAGAACTGTGTGTAATGCTTTTAATAGCTTGGCTTGTTAGTCAATAATATATTAGATTTTAAAGGTAAATATGTTAAATTTTGCCAAATGGCAAGACTGAATGAAAAGCGAAACAAGTTTACGACTGATGATATGAAGTCACATTTCAAAACTAATAGCCCTTTTAGATTAAAAAAAAAATGTTCTGAAAATAATTTGCAATGGTTCATTGGTATTATTTTACGCAAAAAATTCAGTAAAATGAAATTTACCCGTTGAATCAGCACCAAATTAACTGTAAATTCTGGCGCATGTTAAAGGTTGTCTCATCCAGAATTTATTACTAACCATTCATTTCAGAGCAAAATAAACAGTAATTGCCATTTATATGACAATCAATATCAAAAATTTAAATCTGCATTTTACGCAACATAGAAAAAGTTCAAAAGATCTACTGTTTACCAGCAATAAGCATTTTATCTGCTATCACTCTACCAATTATTAATTCCAGAAGATATTCAGTTTACTCTTTCTGCTCATTGGTATTATTTTACGCAAAATCAGTAAAATGAAATTTACCGTTGAATCAGCACCAAATTAAACTGTAAATTTAGCGCATGTTAAAGGTTGTCTCATCCAGAATTTTATTACTAACCATTCATTTCAGAGCAAATAAACAGTAATTGCCA